CCTGTCTCCCAAAGCTCAGAGGCACTGAGAGAAGAAGGGGAAGTTGCCCACAAAAAGCTTGACCGCCGCAAGCATGACAGCCAGCTTGTCCTTGCCAGGCTTTCAGGTTTTTGCGGTTTAGGGTTTAGGGCTTAGGGTTTGGCTGGTTTTACAGAGACGTCTGAATATCTTCGGCTTTGTCTCGGAGGCTACGAGTGCCAGACACCGCAAACCCGAATCGAAGCCGTCCCTGTGAAAGTCGCTGCAACTCTGGGGTTTAGGGATACTCCAAGGGAATCAGGTCCTCCATCTCGCTTTGCGTCCGGTGGTTCTCCAGCTTCACCAGCATTGGGGCCAGAAAGGTCCAAAGAATGTTGCCCACCTCTAAACCACAAGCTCATAGCATGAGTCCTAAAGGTTGGGAATGCTCAAAGGAAGGCTGCCCACCTTCATGACCAAGCTGAGGATCAGAGATGAGAACTTTGCGAAAGTCGAGTCCTGCGGTTTCGGGCCTTCACCCCCCTCTCGGACTTTGCAGGGGTCAGGAGTCAATTCAGAACACTTCGGGAAGTAGCTTCGGTTTATGGGAGCCCACTGAATCAGGAGTTGGCGCTGCAAATCCTCGGGGGCACTGTACTGATTCACCAGAATTACAGCAACCACCCCGATGTAGAGGAACATATAGGCAATGGTAGCCAAGTTTACCACGATGGTGCAAATTTCGCGTGCCCCTTTCTCATCCCAATTGGGATTGTTTTGCACGTACTTGGATTTCTCCTTCACCTCAGCGTCTGGAATCTGGAAGCAGCAGCCCGGTTCATATCAGACTGAGTTGGTTTTGTTCGCATATATCTTAATATCCGGCAAATGCTACAGACTTCATTGATACTCCAAGGCTGCGGCATTCCAAAGCTGCTGCACCCGTGAAGCATGCCGGGAGAACATTTGCGAGATGCAAGCAGCCCAGATCGATATGAGGCACGCCAGAGCAGTCTTGACAGAATCGATGCTGCTTGGAGGCATGAATCCCCTGATGAGAAAGAAGACCAGTCCGACAACAGACAGCGGCAAGAAGGAGTAGATCAGATAGGCAGCATACTTGAAGTAGAAGGTGATCTCTTCCCCAAAATACGCTCTAAGAGGATGTATCAGATTCGAGAAGAACGGGTTGAACCAGTTCCTGATGTGCAGCCCTGTGTCGTGCAGCTCTCGGATCTGCGAGGCTACGGGGCAAGGAAAGGTACACTTGATGATCCCCTGGCTCTCCATCTCGTCCATCTGAACCCAAAGGTTGAACCAATGCCGCAGAATCCGGATGGCATCCATCTGTGTGAAGTCCTCTCGCTGGCGGCAGGGGGCGGACTCAGCCCTGACGTCCCCCCCGACCGTTGCAAAATTGCTTTGCTTTACTCCAAACACCCCAAAAAACCGTTCAAGCACCCCCTGCCGGAGCGAACCCGGTTTCACGCTTCTCCTCGAAGAGGTGCTTGCGCCGCCTTTCGTAAGGGGCGTGCGCCACGACCTGCGCTGCTCGGCAACCAGACAGGTAGCATTCGCATACTTGCTTGTGTTTGATCAGGCAGCTGCTACGGCCTAAATACCCGAAACCTCGAACCCTAAGTTCCGAAATTCCCCTAACCCATTCAACCCCAAAGTGCTGCACCCAAGCTCCAACATCGGGGACTTTATCACTGGACTAGGGCTTCGGGATACTATGATTATTCAGGGACAGTGTGCCCTAACCTTCAACCCTAAACCTTAAACCCTAAACCCCGAAACCCTAAACCGTGACCAGATATTCCGACACCAAGGCACCACCCGTCCGTCGGCGTTTTCCAAAGGCTTCCGGCCGAGGTGGGGGCCGTGCTCCTCCACAGACTCGTAAGCTTCCTTCCTGGGCTTAGGAATTGGGTTTTGGGGTTTAGCCTCGAAAGGGTTTTAGCGGCACGGCAACTGCACCATCAACCAGACATAACATGGACCCTTCAATGACTGACTCATTCCGACTTTTCTCCAATCGTGATACGAAGACTTGCTGTCTTCTTTTCTCTCGTCAAGCATCGTCCTATGATGTCACTCTCTAGTGCTCCTCCAACCTCACGGTCTCAACGAAAAGCCTAAAGCTAGATCAATAGAAAACGTATGCTTATAATTACATATATATATATAGTATAAAATCCAACATATAACATATCATACAACTATATCGTATAGGAAAGTAATAGTAGAGGGTAATGTAATATAAACGGTATATAATGCCGTATCAATAGAAAAGAATACAATATATTAAAGTATAGCACAACATAGCATCACATAATCAATATGATATATCAGAACAGAACGTAGCATATCGCGATATATAACAATATAATAAGGTATAATATAGTTCAGTACAGTATAGTATAGCATGGTATAGTATAGTGTAGTATAGTATAAAATAGTATAGTATAATGTGCTGTACTATAATACAACACGATACAACACAATACATACATAGGTATGCTGATCTATAAGATAGATAGATAGATAGATAGATAGATAGGCAGATGGATAGGCAGATGGATAGGCAGATGGATAGGTAGATAGGTAGATAGGTAGATAGGTAGATAGGTAGATAGATCGATCGATAGATCGATAGATCGATAGATCGATAGATCGATAGATCGATAGATCGATAGATGGATAAATAGACAGATAGATGGATAGATACATAAACACGAGTAGACAGGCAGATAGATATGCTCTTTACTGGAACCAGATCGCTTTGGGTCTGGAGGTCGGCGCGGTGCAACAGTTGCGAACAAGCCGTTTCTGGACAATCGTGATGATTCAATGTTGGTTTCGGGATTTAGGGCATACAATTAAACTGCGAAAACTAACGTTCATGCCAAGCTTCTTGAAGGGCATCTGGAACTTGAGGCTCTCGGCTAGATGCTCGATGGCCTCTCCCTTCAAGGGCAAGTACACCTTCACGAAGTCCTCATCGCCGTCGAAACCCAGAACCCTAAACCCTCCCCCCCAGCCCTAAATGCTGAAGCCCCCAAGCCATAACTACACCCTAAACCACCAAGCCCCGAAACCCCAAACCCCCAAGCCCTAAACGCTAAAGCCCCCAAGCCCGAAGAACACCCTGAACCCCTCAAGCCCTAAACCCCAAACGCTTCACGAAGTGCGCAAGAGTAGTTTATATATATATATATGTATATGTAGGTATGTATGTAGGTATGTATGTATGTATGTATGTATGTATGTATGTAAATCCATAAACACATACATACATACGTACATACATACATACATACATACATACATACATGCATGCATGCATGCATGCAGGCATGCAGGCATGCAGGCATGCATACACACATGCATGCAAACTCACCCTGAGCAATTTTACCCAAGTCCTCATCTTCGTCAATGCTGGGGGACTGGCTGGCCTCGATGCCGCTCGCTTCCAGGATCTCTAGGAACCGGGCCCTGATGTCCTGGGCTTAGGGATTCTTAATTCCCTAAACTCTAAACCCTAAACCCTATACCCTAAACCCTAAACCCTAATGGGCTCCTTTAAGGGTTCCTTTTAAGGGAGCCCTTAAAGTTTCCTCTAAGGGTGGTTCCTTTTAAGGGCTCCCTTAAGGTTTCCTCTAGGAGTGGCTCCTTTTAAGGGCTCCCTTCAAGGTTCCTCTAAGGGGTTCCTTTTGATGGTTCCGTTTGAGGGTTCCTCTAAGGCTTCCTTTTTGAGGATTCCTTGAAGGGTTCCATACGGGTCCAGGGTAAAGGCGCTTACTTCAAGCTACCATACATGATAGGGGTCTGTACATAATCTGGTATCAAATTCCTGAACAAGAACCCAGTGTCTTGCTGGTAGAGCTCCATGGAAATGGGCTCCTGACTTTGAGGGTCTAGGGTTTAGGGACATTAGAGGCGGGATCAGCGTCAAGGTTTCATGGGATCAGGGTCAAGGTTTCATGGCACAAGGTTGAGGACTTCGGGGCGGATTACTACTAGTCTGCTGTACAATAGTTGGGGCTCTGCGAAGGATCCTTGCAAGGTCTCTCCCTCTCAGGGTCAGGCTCCTCACCGACATACTTCAGCCGTTCCAGGGCATTGTGACTCAGGGGGTTGTCCGGATTGAGGAAGATTCGACGGGCCTTCTTCAGAGGCTCCTCGACCATTTGATCGGGATCCACCGTGCCGCCGAAATGTCGGCTGCGAGGGAAGATCACGATTTTCGTACATCTGTCAGCATCCATCTGCAGCAGTGGTGTGGGGCCGGGAAGCTTGTGGATACCGGTGTCATAATCGTTGCCATCTCCATTCGGCAGCTGTTGATACGAACCGATAGCGAGCGCTCGGGGCGCATCCCTCGATTGCACCATGGCTCTACATGGCAGGCATCGATACGAACAGAAGCAGGGACCTCTCAGTATTCGGGATTCAGGTATGGTATACATAATTTCGTGACTCCTAGGTTAGGTTGATGTTTTCCAGCGGAGGATGTATAGCAGGGGCAGTTGCGAGCACTGGCGATTCTGGACAACTTTGTGGGAAAACATGGCTTCGGCTCGTGCGCTCCAAGCAAGAGCCAGTCCTAACCCGGTTCCTCGCTCTCTGCCAGCTCTGCTCCCAAAACCCCACTTCATGTCCTCGTGCTCAGCGAGATATACGTGTATTTTTACACATGCAGACATACATGTGTATGCGTATGATACAAAACGCACACATATGTGCACAGAGACAGATGGAACAGACAGACAGATAGATAGCTAGGTGGATAGATAAGTAAATCGACAGATGTCCATCCTGCGAGAGCGTCTTTGCAGGCAACAGAAGCATAGACATAAACATGGCCGTGGACTTAATCATGACCATTAGCATAGGCAAGAGATAGATAGAAAGCAGATAGTACCCCCATAGATACAGACATGTCGTGTCAAAATCTCACACAGGTATGTATCCAGCATGTATGTATGCTATGCCGAGAGCCACGTCCCCCCTCCACAACTTAATTGAACATGTTTCGCCTCGCCACAGAGCAGCGTTGCAGACCTGAAATCGCCGTGTGCACGGCGCGGAAGCGTTTGGGGTGGCGGAAGGACTAATCACTAATCACCACGGAATGGATTTCCGGCTGTGAAATTTTCCCGCGAAATCCAAACGAAACGAAGCCTAACATCCGATGTCCGTGTGAATTGGCACGGCTTTGGCTGAGACGCCTACGCCTACGCCCCAGCCCCGAAACGTGAGTCCGGAGTCCAGAACAACAACTTGAGTTCAACTCCTGAACCCGGCGGCGCTCTGCACTCTTAGCCTCGCGCTGCAAACCTTCAACTCCGAAATCGCAGACCCTGAACTAATCTGAACTCCGGAGTTGCCTTGGCTGCAGGTTGCTGAAACCACCGCACTCGAGTGATCCCTTACGTCTTCTTGGACTCCTACCAACCACGTCCTCACACTGCCACTGCCACATTACAATGTAGATGCATACGCGGTGCGCGGGTACACAGGGTAGCACTATCTTTACTACACCCTACTCTGCTAGAACATGCTAGAACAGTCCAACCTGAATGAAGGACTCTATATCCAGGGTAGTCCTCCAATGCTGCCGTGATGCAAGACATCCAACAGTCCCGATAGTTGCTCCTCAGCACTGGGACAGAGAGGCAAACCCTCCGGACGACTTCACTTGAAGCTCTCGAACACGCGAACCCTTGAGATCCCAACTGCAAACGATGGCTGAACCAACTCAGGACCTGAAGCTTAACCCCATGCTTTCCAAGACCCAAGCCGCCCAAACCCCATCGGATGCTATCGCAAGGCTCTGAACAACAGCTTTCTCTTTTGTGCCTGAGGCTTGGGCGTCGTCCGCCCCTACAGCACCAAAGGCAGATAGCAGCCTCCAGCGTTGCTTCATTTTCGCTGTTTGGACGGCTTCTGGCTCAGGGCTTTCGCGGACTCATCCCGGCGAATAGAGCTACTGCTCTGTGCTACATCTGCTATCATCTGCTACATGCTGGTCAGGGTTTATGAGGGGGGGCGGGCTTCTGCACGGCTGCGAGCCTGTGCCAATCGCTGGCATCATCCATGCCCTCGACCTGAACACGACGAGGCTCTCCATCACGAAAACCCATGTCCCCTGTCATTCTGAAACCCGACATAGCCGAACCTTAGGTGTACTTCATACATTGTGTGTATATATATATACACACATACATACATACATACATACATACATACATACATACATACATACATACATACACACATACACACATACATTACATTACATTACATTACATTACATTACATTACATTACATTACATTACATTACATTACATTGCATTACATTACGTTACGTTACATTACATTACATTACATTACATTACATTACATTACAATACATTACATTACATTATTTGACATTTTACATTTTACATTTTACATTTTAAATTTTACATTACATTACATTACATTACATTACATTACATTACATTACATTACATTTTACATACAAAATTTTTACATTACATTTTACATTACATT